AATTTCTGCTCTCCATCAGATCAACTAAGAGCCCAGACAGGTGACACGGGTTTGTTTCATAATGACTCCCAGATGAGAAACATCTGTTCTGGGAGCGTCTCGTCTGACGGCAGTCGCAGTCCTCAGTACACAAAGTGCCTTTAGGAAATGAGGCCAAAAACAGGAGCGCTGCTAATCCCACTCGTACCGCGGTAATCCCTGGAGATCCCACGTCCCCAAACCATCCAGGTAACCCTGAGCTCATCAGCCACACCATATCACAGCTTTCTCTTTCTATGTCCTCACTGTAAATTAACAAGGAAACCTCATGTATATATATGAAGAGTTCATTTGCAAAACAGATAACTTTTCCAAAAATCATGTTTTTTCCTTCACTGTTAGACTTTGCTGTAATTTTACAGTTACTTACCAGGCCATGCAGCCAAGACCAACTAGGATGCTTGTTGCATTTTTCTTTTTGTTGCAATATTGTCATGATCTCTGCTTTGATTTGTTGTTATGAATTCAGTTCTCTATATTATTTTTTTTTTGTAATGTTCCAGAATAAAGCACAATAAATAAGTAATGAATGTATTTAATAGTGACAGTGAATACAAAATATACTGTTGTACATGGACTCAGGTCACTTATTTGGAATTTATTAAATTCAATGGGATTCATGTAAAATATTCAAAGGTTTTATAAAATAAATAGTGTAAAATAAATTACAGTAAAATTACAGTAATATTATTATACTGTAAAACTAAGTTACAGTAAGGATATAAGGATATAGTACTGTAAAATTAAGTTGCGGTAAGGGTATTTTACTGTAAAATTAAATTGCGGTAAGGACATTATATTGTAAAATGAACTTGTGATAAGCTATTGTAAAGGGGTCGTTACAGTAACTTACTGGCAATAGTGCTTCCAGTAAGTTACCGCAAAAATACAATAAAAAGTCTAACAGTGTTATGCATTCCAATTAATCTCAATCAAACTGCAGTTGGGTTATTTTGATTAAGCAAAAATAACACACAAAAAATACAGCTAACACAATAAAACACAATAAAAACATGATAACATAATAGGCCTAAAAACATGATTTCTGAAAATAAAAAATCTGTTTTTGTAAATAAACTCTTAATATATAATAAATATTTATGTCTCTAATAAATGATTTAAAAATACAACAAATATAATATTAAAATTAATCTATTTAATCTATCTATTTTTATGATTTGAGTGTTTTATTATGTATTGTACTGGACTAATTAGATAATAGTTCTAATAATGAATATAATACATTAATATAATAATCAATATTTATATAACAAATAATATACTAATTAAATATGACTAATAATGAAAATATAATATAATGATAAATTAATATTTATATTTTTTAATAAATTATTTAAAAATACAAATAATAATATAATATGAATACTAATCTATTATATATGCTGTATGTGTTAGTTAATTAAATAATGATAATTATTAATAGCACTAATGATCAATATAATACATTAAATAATAATTAATAAATGTTTTTAATGATTTAACTTTTTTTTTAACTATTTATATTACTAAATTGTTCAATAAAATAAAACAAATATTATTAAAATGTTAAACATTATTATAATACCTTAAACATACCCAAAATGGACGTCTTTGACCGCTGTGCCATGTCTCGCGCTTCGCACCACTCTATGCAGCATTATTTCTACATGTATTTATATTTATAAAGTGTGGACTTGAAAAGCACCACAAGGATTGAGGACGCCTTCGAATCAGGAAATGGCATCTAAAATGCCTCGACGGCATCCGAAAGCCAAAAACTGAGCGGCCCGAGTGAGTTTAACTGGCTTGGCCATTTACAGAAGCCAAGAACACAGATCAGGAGCAGCAGCAGGAGTAACACACACCCGTCAAACATTCTGGACATCCCTCTGAGAAATCATGCAAGAAGATTAGGATGATTTCTCAAGGCACAGATTTCATCAGGCCGAGCTCTTCACATGTACAGGAAGACGATGAAAATGTTTAATTACAGACCCTTTCATTTATGATAAAAACTAAGTCTGAATATCCCCTAAGAAAAGTCATTTAAGGAATAATTAGACTGCTACCCAAGATAACACGAACACAACTGCAAGCCAACTTTCTTCTCCAGCTTAGAGAGAAAAAGAATTAGCAGGTTTTGATTGAGCCCGATTGCATTTTGATTAAGAGAAAACACTGAATTGAGTAGACAGACGTCTGAATGAAAGGATCCTGAAGACACGAAAAAGATGAATAGGAATAGGGCATCATGGGAGTTAAACTTATAATACCGTTATATAAATAAAGAAATTAGTACTTTCAATCAGCAACGATGCATTAAATTCATCTAAATTGACAGTAAAGACATTTATAATGTTACAAAGGATTTCTATTTCAAATAAATGCTGTTCTTTTGAACTTTCTACTCATCAAAAAATCTTTAAAAATAAAAAAAATATCAAAATATGAAGCAGCACAACTGTTTTCAACATTGATAATAATCAGAAATGTTTCTTGAGCAGCAAATCGGCATATTAGAATGATTTCTGAAGGATCATGTGACACTGAAGACTGGAGGAATGATGCTGAAAATACAGCTTTACATCACAGGAATACATTACAGTTTAACATACATTTAATTAGAAAACAGTTATTTTAAATTCTTATAGTATTTCACAATATTACTGATTTAACTGTATTTTTAGTCATATAAATGTAGCTTTGGTGAGCAGAAAAGACTTACAGAACCCCCCCCCCCCCTTTTTTTTTTGCTTTTGGGTCGATTTTTCCTCTTAATCAAAACTCAAAACATGCTAATTCTGATTCAATGCGACAAAACACCACGAATAAAATATACTACGGCAATAATAATGACCAAATAAACATCTGAAATTATTCTGCTGGTTGGCAAATGAACCAACCCTAAATAACTGCTGTACAAACAGCAGCTTTTTTCTGGATAATTGTATAATATCGAAGTATAATGTTTAAAATTTGCCTAATGTTAGTGTAATCCTATTAACACGCACATCATAACCCCTTCTGTTAGGCAAGCACATATGGACCCACTAAATAAAAATAAAACAAGGTAATTGTGACTTTTTATCTCACAATTTTTACTCTCTCGCAAAATCTCGTAGCTAATCCTGACTAATTCTGTCCAATTACCTTTTTTTAATTCAATGGCAGAAAAAGGCTTAAGTAGCAGATATGGTGTCATGTCACAAAATATATATTTTTTGTATATAATGTGATCACAATTGAATAAATACATTGCAAGTTACTAATTATAATGCTTAATTATAACGCATTCAATTAAAAAGCAAGCAAAGAACACTTAGGCCTACATTATCAAAGAACACGATGACTGACTTCAGTCTAGCGTGAGTTTAAAAAAACTCCCCTGTTATAATCAATAAAGCTGCCTACAATGTCAAATGAATCTCTTACTTACATCATACGTACATTTCCACTTTGTTGTTTATGATGAGAGAATTTGCGTGAGTCTGCGTTTCAGCGATGACTCATCTGGATGCCTTTGATTGGCCACTGCATTCACAAGCTCAACAGAATCGTGTGTGATTGGATATAATGCGGAACGCTGGAAAAATGATGATAATTTGATGCATCATTAGCAGATCTAAATTTAATGCCGCAATTAACACTTTTCATTTCATTTTATTTTCACTTTATTCGTGACATCCTTAATCCTTTAGTTTAATTGCATTGGGGAACCTCAGAGAGGGCCTACCTTATTGTAAAAACAATATCTAAAATTTTTGTTTTAAAATATATTTTTAATAAAAAAAATATTATAACTAATTTTATTTAAGCAATTCATAATTTGACAAACATCTAAATAAAATAAATACAACTTCTGTGAAAAAAAAAAAACCTCTTCAAATCTGCATATTCAGTGAATTAACTTATTAACACCGCCCATTTTCTCCATATTTGAATGTTTCCGCCTAGCGTTTGAGGCTCTGTGATTCGTGGTCCAGCTATGAAATTACAGAGGGCCAAGCAATAGTAAATCAATGGGGGGAGTAATTTCGAATGACAAAAAAATTGACCAATCATATCTTTCCTCTAAATGGGCGGGCCTTGTTATCACTAACTTTATGACAAGTTCCGCCCGCTGTGGGGATCTCTCGGGGGAAAAAAAAAAATGCTGATACACTAACTAGCTATTATTCACGTCACGATGGAAGCCGCGAATAACGTAAGTGAGGACATTTACTAGGCTGCTGAGCCAATAATAATATTATTTATTATAAACACTGCTTGTTTGTCATGAAGTGTCTGTCGCTAATTTGTTTTGTGTCAGCGCTGTCATGATGTGCTGTCTTAAACACATTACATTTGTTGGTTTTGTGTGATGGGAGGGAGTGTATTTGCATTTGACTTCAATTTAGCCGTTTTATTTTGGTAATATCAGTCACTCTCGCTGTGCTGTTTTGTTGCGGTCGCACATCAGACGAGACGCACAGTGGTGCCCCGGTGCAACACGTATCACACACTGAATGTGTCGCGTCAGCAAACGGGATGAGAAATTGCGATCTATAGCACAATGAATCAAGGAATTTTTTAGAGCCACAGAAAGACAAACTTTTTGCTAAAAAATGCACAATACACAATCTTCCAACCTAGGATGAAGTCATTATGTACATTAACAATTAATTTGGGACAAAAATAATGTAATTTAATGGAAAATTATGTGAGTGGCGCGGCAGGATTATGAATAGCGCCCGGAGTCGGGATCCGCGGACAGTCACCGGTGAACTATTCACCGTGAAACAGAACGTGTGCTGGGAGAGCCAACAATGATTACTTACTGGTGTGCGTAAGAACTGCGTGCACACGTTTGATAAATATGGATTTGTTTGTACTTACACACATTCTAAATTTCATTTGTAGGACAAAATATAGAACCTTTTCTACGCACTCTTGATAAATGAGGGCCCCCTGAACGCTCTTACCTCAAGTCTTTGCACGATCTCTCGAATGTCTTCTCCACAGTTGTCATGCGCGGAAAACATCACGCACTCCCCTCGTTCGTAGAAGATCTTGATGCTCATGACGCTAGACGACCAGCCGATGACGTCCCGACAGGAGCAGTTAAAAATCACGTTCTTGGACGCCTCCTCGATCAGCATGATGAACTCGTTGGAAATCCCCAGCAGGCACTCCAAGTCTGTAGATTGGCCGAAATCCCGTGCCACCACGCTCCACGTGACGGCGCCCACGCTCTGGAGATGGGCGTCCTTCCGCGGCTTCACCCGCTCCTTCTTCTTGGCCCCCAGCGTGATGAAGCTGAACTTCACCGCCGTGTCCACCGTCGTCGTGCTCACAAAGTTCTCTGCAAGGTCCTTGAGGTACTCCTGCCGCGTACGGGTCGCCATGGCACGGAACTTCTCCGATTTGTGCGCAGAGTTTTCCCCGTTGATCACCTTGGCCAGTAGGAAGTCCCTGAAGACGGCCGACTTGGGAAAGGTCACTCCTTTAGGAATGGGAGGGCCGAACGGAGGCACGTCTTTGGATCTGGATACCGCAACACTGCGAAGACGACAACGAGAGAGATTGTCTGGTGTAACTAATGCAATGCAATATGAGATGCACTTCACAGATCTGAAAACACTTAGGTCCAATCCCATTTCTACCCGTTATCCCTACCTCTCGTTTCATGTGTTCACGTGAAGGGGTAGGGGTGTCTCGATTCTTTTTTGGTTGGAGGCGTAGGGGAAAGGGGAAGGGGGCAGATAGCCCTTCAAACTAAAATTTTTCGGGACCACACTTCAAACCCCTTGTTTTGAATTATCAGCATAAACCAGTGTCCTGACATTTTATCCTACCCGTCAGATTGTCCTACCAGGGTTTATTGCGCATACGCACATCAATATTGCATCCTTTTTCTCACGCTGAATAACAATATTTAATGCATCTGCATTACTGTAAGGGTAGGTTTAGGGTTGGGGTAGGTGTAGACTTTAACAAAACACAATCTAATAGGTAGAAAAAAATATTTATTGTGGGTTTCCTGTAGTTGTATCCCTTCTAGCCACAACAGCGAATATAACACATAATTACTGTATTTGCATTACTGTAAGGGTAGGTTTAGGGTTGGGGTAGGTGTAGACTTTAACAAAACACAATCTAATAGGTAGAAAAAAATATTTATTGTGGGTTTCCTGTAGTTGTATCCCTTCTAGCCACAACAGCGAATATAACACATAATTACTGTATTTGCATTACTGTAAGGGTAGGTTTAGGGTTGGGGTAGGTGTAGACTTTAACAAAACACAATCTAATAGGTAGAAAAAAATATTTATTGTGGGTTTCCTGTAGTTGTATCCCTTCTAGCCACAACAGCGAATATAACACATAATTACTGTATTTGCATTACTGTAAGGGTAGGTTTAGGGTTGGGGTAGGTGTAGACTTTAACAAAACACAATCTAATAGGTAGAAAAAAATATTTATTGTGGGTTTCCTGTAGTTGTATCCCTTCTAGCCACAACAGCGAATATAACACATAATTACTGTATTTGCATTACTGTAAGGGTAGGTTTAGGGTTGTGGTGTAGATGTTAAAAAATAAATTTTACAGGTAGCATTTTTCGTTGTCGAATTGTACTACCCATTAAATCATTAGTGATTGCACGATAGTGCCACAGCATATTTTAATGTCTGATCATGACGACAACCACCGTAGACATTGAGGGGGGGCTAGTCCCCCCAATAATTAGAAATCGCTAAACCTTTTTCTCAAACATTGCCAATTCGAGAGAGAGAGAGGGAGAGAGGGAGAGATGAAAGTTGCGTGTACACGTGTCTGTGCGTCTCTCTGTACAATGAGTGAGTTTACTTAAACAGCAATTTTATCATCTCGTTGCTGGAAAATATAAATGTAGAGATTCACTATTTAAACTGTTATTAATAAAAGTCACTGGGCAGCGTTTACAAGTTTCTTTGCTCCTGGATGTGGAGCTGCGCGACCTCTGATCTATGTGTGTGTGTGTGTGTGTGTGTGTGTGTGTGTGTGTCAGTAAGCAGCGCATTTATATAGAACGGTAAGGCTCTAATGCACACCAGTATAGGTGTTTGTTAGTGGTTGACCGATATGGGTTTTTTGACAGCCGATGACGATATCTTGGAAAGCAGGGTGGCCAATGGCCGATATAATTTTATTTATTTTAATTAATATTTAAGAAATTTGAAATCATTTGGAAATGGATTAAAAATAATTGTGTAAAATAAACAAACATAGTTTAGAAGACAAAAAAAACAGCATTTTGTATTTACTTGCATTATCTTTGTGTAATATTAAAATTTGTTCAATGATCTGAATCTTTTAAGTGTGACAAATATGCAAAAAATAAAAAAAACAGGAAGGGGACAAAAACCTTTTCACACCACCGTATATGTGTATGTATATATATATATATATAATTTTTTTTTTTTTCAAATAAAGCCAAGGTAACACTCATTTTACAAACAGCACACAATGAAAATGACATGAATATGACAGTGGGCAAATGCATAAAGTGCAGCATAATTTGAAATCACAAGTTTAGTTTGTCGATTGCGCATCTCCAGTCAAGCTGAACTCTCCTCCTGTCCGCATTCAATTTGCATGGACCGACCGTCACCCAGACAACATGCGATCATGCAGGATACAAACGCGCACTTCACAAGATCTCAACTACATTTGAATAAGTCTGCAAGGTTTGTGAAATTAAATGTTCACTAGTCATTCAAAGATTTGTTTAAATGATATTAATGCGTATTTGCTGAATGCTGACGGCAAACGAGAAAGTAGTATAATGTTTGCCCTTCTATTACTAATAATATTAAAGCAATCGTTATAATACTTTTTTGCATACATTTTAATTAATTTGTTTAACAGTTCTATCTGATTATTAGATAGAAATGAACGACGATAGCGAACAAGAGAGAGAATGTGAGCACTGTGTGTTCAGGCGCTGCAATCTCAGTGCCGTCAAAATAAAAGTCCCGCCTCGAACACATCGGCCAAACAGAAAAACGTATCGGCCGACACCGATATTTGAAAAATGCCCAATATCGGCCGATATATCGGTCGAACACTAGTGTTTGTATTGTAGGTGACGGTATAGTAGTGGTGTCCCAGTTCTTAGGGGCATATTGTCACAGCAACGCAACTTGAATATGCGTTGTTTACATGAAGCGGAAGCAAGAGCATGCGTCGTGATTAGGGTTGGGTATCGTTTTAATTTGATTGATTCCGATTCTGCTTATCGATTCCGATTCTTATCGATTACTAGTTTCGATTCCAATAAGATTAAAAAATCCAATATAAAAAAAAAGTCAAAAATTTTTTTTAGATGTCGAACATCTTTTTACAAAGCATTCTGTTGCAGCTGAATAACACGAGCAAAAATCAGCAGCCTACAGAACACTGCAAGAGGAATTTTGCCTCTGCTTTAAAAAAAATACCACAGCAAAAACAACTAGATTATTAATATAAATTTCAAATATTAAAGTGTTAAAGACAAGTAAACAGTCAGTAATAAGATAGGAAGAAACAAATCAATTAGCAATTAATGACAGGCAGCGCGCTTAATAGGCTGCTGTCTTTTTAACACAGAACGCACGCAGATCTAAAAATACTGTACATGTGTGTTTTCTTTCTCATCTGTTTACGTTCACGTAAGACAAAAACGGTTGTGTTTATGATGATATACTGACGTAGTTTTCTGCATATTGGTTGACAAATATGAACGAAGTCCGTTTCGGCCCAGAACAACCTTTTCTGCAGTGGAAATACACGGAACGGTTCGAGAACGGACACAAACCGGGAACCCGTACCGCGACCTCTGTTCTCTGTGCTCAACCCTAGTCGTGATGCTCTCCACAATGGCGGCTCGCAAAAAGTAATTTATTTCTTTGAGCACAAAAAGTATTCTCGTAGCTTCATAACATTAAGGTTGAACCACTGATGTCACATGGACTATTTTACAGATGTCCTTGCTACGTTTCTGGAGCTGGAAACATTTCAGTTGTGTTGCTGTCTATGGGAGGGTCAGACAGCTCTCAGATTTAATAAAAGCAAGAGGAATTTTGCCTCTGCTTTAAAAAAAATACCACAGCAAAAACAACTAGATTATTAATATAAATTTCAAATATTAAAGTGTTAAAGACAAGTAAACAGTCAGTAATAAGATAGGAAGAAACAAATCAATTAGCAATATCATAAATAAATACAACTGAACAAAATTCCAGGTATAGAAACTGTAATTAAAAGTTTAAAAACACTGCATAGTTTTCATTTCACAAATAAATTATAGATTAATCAATTAAAGTTATTATAAAGTTAAATATATTCAGTCAAGATCAGTGAATGATTTTCTTTTGTTCTTTGATTAACATTAATGACAGGCAGCGCGTTTATTAGACTGCTGTCTTTTTAACACCGAACGCACGCAGATCTAAAAATACTGTACATGTGTGTTTTCTTTCTCATCTGTTTACGTTCACGTAAGACAAAAACGGTTGTGTTTATGATGATATACTGACGTAGTTTTCTGCATATTGGTTGACAAATATGAACGAAGTCCGTTTCGGCCCAGAACAACCTTTTCTGCAGTGGAAATACACGGAACGGTTCGAGAACGGACACAAACCGGGAACCCGTACCGCGACCTCTGTTCTCTGTGCTCAACCCTAGTCGTGATGCTCTCCACAATGGCGGCTCGCAAAAAGTAATTTATTTCTTTGAGCACAAAAAGTATTCTCGTAGCTTCATAACATTAAGGTTGAACCACTGATGTCACATGGACTATTTTACAGATGTCCTTGCTACGTTTCTGGAGCTGGAAACATTTCAGTTGTGTTGCTGTCTATGGGAGGGTCAGACAGCTCTCAGATTTAATCAAAAATATCTTAATTTGTGTTCCAAAGATGAACAAAGGTCTTACGGTTTTGGAACGACATGAGGGCGAGAATTTTCATTTTTGGGTGAACTAACCCTTAATTTCAGTAAGTTGCCACGGTAACATTTAAATTTTTTTGCAACATTTTTAAATTTCTAAAATTGGAGGGGGGGGGGGGTTCAGGGTGTGTATGTTGGGAGGGGGGGGGGGGGGGGGGGGGGGGGGGGGGGGGGGTTCATCTAATATTTGCATTTTAGTAATTTTGTTGTGTTTTTGTCATTTTTAAAAATTATTTTTTATATTTATATAATTGCTTTAATTTTTTTATTTTAGTTTTAGGAATTTTCATTTCTACTTTTTATATTTTATCAATTTGTTACTATTCTATTTTAGTATATTATAATTGCAATTTTGTATTATATTGTACTGTTTATATTCCAGTTTTATTCTTCAACTTTTACATTTCTTACTTTTACATTTCTATTTTAATGTAATGGTCGTATATCACATATATTTTTTTTTATGTGACAAATTTGTGATTTGATTAATTTTTAGTATTTCAACTTTAGTATTTCAGTTGCCAAGGCAACATTTCCAATTTTCTTTCTTTTTTCTTTCTAACTTTCTGTTTTTCTAATATTTATT